ATTATCATCATTATCATTATTATTACTATTTTCATTATCATTATTATTATCATCATCAATATTTTATTATCATCATTAATATTATGATGGTTATTATAGTTTTTTTTAATTGTCATTATAATTATTATTGTTTTCTTATTACTATATAATATACTATTATTTATTCATATCACTATCACTAACGTTATTATTATTTTAATGGTAGTTATCAATATTTTCATTGACATCATAGTTATTATTATCATCATCATTAGAGGCAATAATTTGAAAATTATCATCCCACATCATTATATTCATAACTAACATCATTTCCACATGCATAATTAGGATTATCATAATCATTTTTACTGTCATAATTCCTATTATTGATACTCCAACTAGTATATTGTTAGTATCATTTTTATTATCATTATCTTTAACATTACTACTACTAATTGTAACAGTAATACTATTGTTATTGTCATAGTTATTCTTTTCATTGAAAACCTTCTTTCATATCCTCATTATCATAATCATCGTCGGAAAATTTCACCCGCTTATGAATCAAAAAAAAAAAAAAAAAAGAAAAAAAGAAAGAAGAAAGAAGAGAGAAAAAAAAAGAAACGCAAAGACAGAAAAGAGAATTCATGCGATAGAAAGACATAAACGTAAAGATAATTAGGCGCAAAATATGATAGCGATATGCAAATGCAATATGAATTCTTAATAATGAATTCTTAATACGTATAAATATTACTGGAAAAAGTCAAAATGAAGCCATTTTGCTCCAGCTGATAGTGACAGCCTGCATGTAAATTTTGCGAATTCTGTGTTTGTTTTTGATGCGAATAAAAGGGTGATGACACTGCGATTTTTGTTATTGTCATTGTTACTGTTATCATTATCATTATCGGTATTGTTATTTGCTGTGTTATTTATCATTTATTTGTTATTATTATTTAATTTCAATCACTATCATTGTTATCATTTTTATAAATACTAATCATCATTGTTATTATATATTCAGTTTGACTATCATTACTACTATAATTATCATGAATATTATTATTATTATTATATATTATTTATTATTATTATTATTTTATTATTATTATTATTATTATATTATTATTATTATTATTATTATTTCATTATCATTATATTTCATTATTATTATCATATTATTATTATTGTTATTATTATTATTATTATTATCATTATTATTATTATTATTATTATTATTATTATTATTATTATTATTATTATTATTATTATTATTATTATTATTATTATTATTTTATTTATTATATTATTATTATTATTATTATTATTATTATTATTATTATTATTATTATTATTATTATTATTTATTATTATATTTATTATTATTATTATTATTATGATTATTATTATTATTATACTTATTGTTATCATTTTCATCATTATTATAATTACTGTTATCATTACCATCATCTGTATTGTTATTATCATTATTATCATCATCATGATTGCCATTATTGTTGATATTATTATCATCATCATGATTGCCATTATTGTTGATATTATATCATCATCATTATCATTATTTCTATCATCATTATTCATCATCGTTATTTATAAATATTATTGCAGTCATAATTATTATTTTCATCAATATATTTTATTGTTATTATTATTGTCATATCATCATTGATATTGTCATTATTATCATAATCATTATCATAATCAATATCAATCTAATCATCATAATAATAATGATAATGATAATAATTATAATTATCAACGGTAATATTGTTATTATTTTTATTGTTATCATTATTATTGTTATTATCATTATCACTGCTATTATTATCATTCATTATCATTAACTTATTGTTGTTATTGCCAGCATTATCATTATCATTATTAATCTTATTATCATTGTTATTATCATTATCATTATCATTATTAACATTATTGTTATTATCATCATCATTATAATCATAATTTTTATGATCATTATCATCATCATCGTCATTATCATCATCCATTTTATAATCATTATCACCATCATTAGTATTGTTATCATTATCTTAACTTTTGTGATTATCATCATCATTATCATCACCATCACCATTTTCATCATCATTGCTAACATCCATAATTTCATAATCATTCATGCCTCATTATCATCCATAAATCATAATCCTCATTATCACTATCATCATTGCCATCCTCATTGCCATTATGATTATCAACATCACCATCATATGTTTAAGACCAAATATTCCGAGAGGCACTTTACATCAACATAAGATTAGCATAATAAGGCCGTGTGTACATGTGTGCGCGCGTGTATGTATGTGTGCGTGTGTGCGTGGCATGAGGAAACCTTGCAACATTGAGGTAACTGCTGCTCCCTCTCGTCAGCCAAGCGTTGCTAAATCATTTGCAACATCATCACAAGAGAGCAGTGAAGTTGTGTTAAGGGAGAAAATGAGTTATATGATAGTGAAGACGAAAAAAAAAAAAAAATCGAAGGGAAAAGATGGAGAAAAAGAGAGTGAAGAAAAAAAAAAAAAAATAAAACGAAGGGAAAAGATGGAGGAAAAGAGAGGAAGAAGGAAAAAGAAGAATGGCGAGAAGAGGAAGAAGAAGATGAGGAAGATGATGGTGATGAAACAGAGGCAGAAGAAGAAGAAGAAGAAAGAAAGAAAAGAAAATGAGGGGAAGAAAAAGATGATAAAACAAAGGCAGAAGAAGAAGAAGAAAAAGGAAAAACAAAAAGACGATGAAACAGAGACAGAAAAAGAAAGATAAAGAAAAAAAAAAAACAAAGGAAGAAAAGAATCAGAATATATAAACATAAATAAAAACAAACAATAATAATAAAAAAGAAAATGTAAATAAGAAAAAAGAAGGGAAGAGGACCAAAAAAAAAAAAAAAAAGAAGAATTTTTTTAGGGGTTGATTTAAAATCTCATTTGCAAATGGCTTGTACTTTTGTGTCTGATGCAACATGGACTCTTTTCATTTTAGATTACAAAGTTCAGGCTTATTTCCGCCAGCACCCCCTCCCCTCCCCCCCCCCCCCCCCCTCCCCCTTCCTCTCCCCCCCCTCCCCTTCCCTTTCTCCCCTCCCCCTTTTCCCCCTTCCCCCCCCCCCTTCTCCCTTCCCCCCCTCTAAACATATCCTCCTCCTTTCTCTTACTCCCTCTTCCCCCCCTCCCCTCCCCTCCCTCCCCTCCCTCATCCCCCCTACTCGAAGTTTCCTCTCATCTTATCTGCTTAACTCTGCTTAGTTCTCTTCGTCATCTTTATCGCGATTTTTGGCCTATTTTCTTCTTTTACCGCGATTTTTCCTATTCTCTTCTTTTATTGCGATTTCTCCCATTCTCTCCCTTTATTGGGATTTCCCCCATTTTCCTCCTTTTATCGCGATTTCTCCCATGCTCTCCCTTTATCGGGATTTCCCCAATTTCCACCTTTATCGGGATTTCCCCAATTTCCACCTTTATCGGGATTTCCTCCATTCCTTCCTTTTATCGCGATTTCTCCCATTCCTTCTTTTTATCGTGATTTCTCCCACTCTCTTCCTTTATCGGGATATCTACCATCCTCCTCCTTTTATCGCGATTTCTCCCATTCCCTCCTTTTATCGGGATTTCCCCCATTCCCTCCTTTCATCGCGATTTCACCCATTCTCTTCCTTTATCGCGATTTCCCCAGTTCTCTTCCTTTATCCAGAGTTGCTTCCTCTTCTCCTCTGCCGCTGCTTCGCCCCTTAACATTCCTTCTTCTTTTTGACCTCGCCTGACCTGTGACGAGTGCATACCGAATCCAGCCTTCTTCGTTTGCTGTCTCCAATTGCAGCATGCAATAGTCTTCTCTTTCCGCGAGTTATTTCCCTCCTTCTCTCCTCCCCTCCCCCTCCTCTCTCCTTATATTTTTTTTTTTTCTTTCTTTTTTTCTCTTCTTTCTCTATTCCTTTCTCTCTCTTTTTCTTCTCTTCTCTTCTCTCTCTCTCTTTCTCTCTCTGTCTTCTCTTCTCTTCTCTTCTCTCTCTCTCTCTCTCTCTCTCTCTCTTCTCTCTCTCTCTCTCTCTCTCTCTCTCTCTCTCTCTCTCTCTCTCTCTCTCTCTCTCTCTCTCTCTCTCTCTCTCTCTCTCTCTCTCTCTCTCTCTCTCTCTCTCTCTCCTCTCTCTCTCCTTTGTCTCTCTCTCTCTTTTTCTCTTTTTCCTTTTCTCTCTCTCTCTTTCTTTTTAATTCTCTTCGTTTGAAACTGCTTCGTTATACACATTGTCTCATCTATTGTGAATATTTTTCGTATTTCTAGCCTTTTGTTTTGCTCTATTTCCGTCTATTCAATTTCTCTTTTAATAATTGTGTTTTGTTTCGCAGTTTATTTCTAAGAATTATCTCTTCATTATCTCTCCCACCCCAACATGTTCCCTCCCCCCACTTCGTTTCATAAACCCCACATGAACTTATTCTCCCCTCCCACCGCCTTCCCCCCCCCCCCCCCCCCACCTAACCTCCCCATCCTCTCCACCCCACACACACCTCCCCCCCACCTCCTCCCACCTGTACACTTCCCATCCTCCTCCCCCCTTCCCTCCCACACACATCCCTCTCCCTCCCCCCACCTACACACTCCCCATCCACCCTCCACCCCTTCCTCCACCCCCACACACCCTCTCCCCCCTACTTCCACCAATACACTCCCCATCCTCCTCCACCCCACACACCCTCTCCCCCTCCTCCACCATACACTCCCCATCCTCCCTCCCCCTTTCCCCATCCCCTCCACCTCCCCCCCCCACCTATACACTAGCCCCTTCCCCCCCTCAACCCCCTCTCCCCCACTCGCCCTCCCCCAGCTATACACTCCCATCCTCCCTCCCCCTCCCCACCTCCACTCCACCTACACCCTCTCCCCCCTCTCCACCTACCCCCACCTATACACTCCCCCACATCCCCCTCCATTCCCCCCTCCCCATCCCCCACATCCCCCCATACAAACGCCCCTCTAGCAACCCTTACCTGAAGGAGACGCAGCCGGACCCAGCAGGAGGAGCCGTCCAGAGTACCTGTATCTCGCTCTTTAAGATGGATGAGGTCTGGGTGACGGCGTTGGGGCAGTCGTCAGAGTGCATTGTCAGGGCGTCTCCATACAGCTGTTAAGGAGAGAAAGGGAGGGGAAAAATAAATGATTGGGTTGTATAATTTATTTGTTTATTTATTTGTTTATTAATTTGTCTATTATTTCTATCTTTTTTTTTGGGGGGGAGGGGCTTTTGTTGACTTTTTTTTTTTTAAATGAGGTGAGAATGAGAGAGAGAGAGAGAGAGAGAGAGAGAGAGAGAGAGAGAGAGAGAGAGAAGAGAGAGAGAGAGAGAGAGAGAGAGAGAGAGAGAGAGAGAGAGAGAGAGAGAGAGAGAAATATATAAATTGTAGATTTTAAGGGTGAGAGAAATAGAGGATCTATTTTTGCTTTATTGTATTTTTATCATAGGTACTGAGAAAAAGCAAAAATAAAAGAGAGATAGAGAGAGAAAAACATATATAAAACTTATTAGTGGGGTTTATTAGTGTATCATATAGTGTATCAAGAATTTATCCTACTGTATGATGCATAGTGAGGGTGTCTAAATTTAGCTGTTGAAGGAGACAGAGAGATATGATTTATTTTACTGTATTATTGTAGTTTCCTGTGGCATTTTCTGTGAAGGACTAGTGAAAAAATATATTTTGTTATATCCATGGATTTCATGTTTACTACTTGAGATATTGTGTGTGTGGGGGGGGGTCAAAAGATCTGTCTTTGCTGCGATAACAATATCAAAAACAATGATAAAGATGGCGGTGATGGTAATGATGATATCGATGATAGTGACGTCAATATTAGTAATAGTGATGATTCTAATACTGCTACTTATAATAGTCATACAGAAGGCAAACTAAATTATACTAATGAGGAAGGCTAACAATCATTTATGATAATGATAGAATGACAACGATGATAATGGTAATGATAATGGTGATAATAAGTAACAGTAACAACAAACCAACAACAACGATAACAACATTAATGATAGTAATAATAACAATGATGAGAAGGATGGTAATGATGATGATGATGATGATGATAACGGTAATGATAATGAGGATGATAATAATAAGGATAATGAAAATGAAATACTATTATGGAAAGACTGAATGAGAGGGAAAATAGAAAGAAAAAAAAAAGTAAAAATTCAAAAGAATTCAAAAGAATTCCTACTCTTGTTTTTTTTCTCTCTCTCCTTTTTGTAAGAAATAATTCCTGACTTTTACCGAGGGCACCTTTCGCGCGGTTCAAAATAAATCAGTCTCTCCTCCAGCGCTGGCGAAGAAAACGAGACACCGAAAGAAAACGCCAAGACGAAGAAAACGGTGACGAGATAAAAAAAACATGATATCAAAAAAGAAATTTAATTGGAAAATAACAAATTAGCTCCAGGTTATGTGAAGGGTTCTAAGAATCATTGTGTTTCTTTTTTACTTATCGAAATAAGAGGTAAGAAGATTGAAGAAAATTAGGATTAGGATAATGGTAATAAGAGTAATAATAGCAACAGCGATGATAATAATGATAACTAAAACGACACGCTAATAATAACAATGGTAATGTTAATGATGACGATGATGATAATAATACTGATAATAATAGCAATGCTAATGCTAATGATGGTAATAATGATGCTGATGATAATGGTAATAATAATAATAATAGTAATGATATTGATAACAGGAATGGTAATAGCAATAACAGTGACAATAATAATAGAAATGATAATATAATAAGTAGAATAAGTTATAATAATGATAATGATATTAATGATGATAATATAACTTAATTAAATATTAGATGAAAAAAAGCAGCATAAACCATAAAGAATATGAAGACAGAAAAAAACAAAACAAAAACAAAGAGACAAATAAACAAGGCCTCAAATGTTCCAGACTGCCCAGCCTGCGACGCGTGCGAGCAGCATAAACATGTTCCCGACATGTCCGGCCAACACACACGAGGCAAAGCATGAACAACACAAAGCTATAAATTATATTAATCTGCATACAACGTCAAAACAACTTTATTTTCCGACGGCGCTTGTAGGCGAGACCAGGAAACGAGTGGAAATATGGCTCGCACTTATGTCATGGTTGGACAAACATCTTTAATAACAGAGTGGAAAGAAGTTCGGCTTCCTAAGGACGCGTTAGTCTGCGGGTAAACACGGGAGACAAGCAAGGCCAATTAAATCATGATGGGGATAGAGAGAGAGAGGAAGAGGGAGAGGGAGGAGGGATGGGGAAGAGGGGAATAAGTTAAGATCTTACAAATACGTACGTACATCTACATGCACTCACGAACACTACACACGCACAACACACACACACACACACACACACGCACACACACGCACACACACACCACACACACACACACACACACACACACCACACACACACACACACACACGCAGCTCTTGTCATCCTTAATGCCTCGCGGAGAAAAGTCGAGATTTGCCTGAAGGTTTTTATAGATTCAGTGTTTCCTCATACTTGCCCAAAGGTGGTGGATCGGGAGGGGGAGGAGGAGGAGGAGGAGGAAGAAGAGAGGGAGGAGGAGAGAGTGAGGAGAGGGGAGGAGGAGGGAGGAGAGGGAGAAGGAGAAAGAGAGAGGAGAGGAGAGGATAGAGGGCAGAGGAGGAGGAGGAGGAGGAGGAGAGAGGAGAGGAGGAGGGGAGGAGGAAAGAAGAGGGAGAAGAGGAGGAGAAAGAGTATGAGGAGGAGGGAGGAGAGGGAGAGAGGGAGAAGGGGAAGGAGAGGAAGAGGAGGATGAGGAACAGCGAGAGAGAAGGGACGGAGGAAAGAGGAGGATTAGGAAGACGAGTAGGAAGAAGAGGAGAATAAGGAAGAGGAAGAGAAAGAAAAAGAGAGAGCTGGGAGAGGAGGAGCAGGAAGAGGAGGATAAAAAGGAGGAAAATGATGATAATGATGATGATGAGGAGAAGAGCAGCAACAGCAGAAAGAGGAGGAGGGGGAGGAGGAGGAGGACGAGAAGGAGGAAGAAGAGGAAGAAAAAGAAATAAGGAGAGAGGAGGGGAGGAGTAGGAAGAAGAAGAAGAAGAAGAGGTGGAGGAGTAAGAGGATGAAGAAGAAGAAGAAGAGGAGGAGGAGGAGGAGGTCGAGGAGGAGGCCGAGGAGGAACAGAAGGAGGATCAGCAGATGCAGCAGCAAACAGTGGCAGGAGGAGAAGGAGGAGAGGAGGAGGTAAGGAAGGGGGGGGGGGGGGACGGCCTCTAGGTGACATGTCTTGGAATTTCAAATAGTAAATTTGAGCCCCAAGGTCAGAAGCATTTGAGGTCAAGGCAGGTCAGATGTTGCAGATGTTTCGGTAATATAAATAATGTCGACATGATGCAACGAACATACGTAAATAATTGTGGAGAGATTAAACAGATGATGAGATTAACTGCCCTTTTAAAGGTATTATCCACTTCAAATATCAACTGGGCGACATTTAAACCAACAAGGAAAAATGACAAGATGAAAAAAAAAAAAATGTCTATCTATCTTTATTCATCTAATTGTCAATCTTTATCTATCTATCTATCTATATCTGTATGTCTATCTACAGAGATAGATAGATAATAGATCAGATAGATAGATAGATAGATAGATAGATAGATAGAGATAGATAGAGATAGATAGATAGATAGATAGATAGATGAGAAGAGAGAGAGAGAGAGAGAGAGAGAGAGAGAGAGAGAGAGAGAGAGAGAGAGAGAGAGAGAGAGAGAGAGAGAGAGAGAAAGAAACAGAGAGACGAAGAGAAACAGACAGACAAAGACAACGAGAGAAACTGAGAGAAAGAGAAACAGACAGACAAAGGTAACGAGAGAGACTGAGAGAAAGCGAGAGGGAGAAAGAGAGAAAGAGAGAAAGAGAAATATCAGAGGGAAATATCTATCTCTCTGTTCCGAAGCCCAAACCCTGGAGCAACCAGTAGAAAAAGGTAGAGGACATTTTTGTGTAATACCGCGAATATTATTTAGGAAATAGGCTTAAAAAGATCCGATTTTATTGAGCAGTTTAGACTTTTTTTTTTGTTATATTTGTTCATTCTATTTTTGTGTTCTAGATTCATGGCGGCAGCTTAAAAAAATGTGTGTGTGAGAGATAGATATACATATAGATAGATAGATAGATAGATAGACAGACAGACAAATAGATAGAAAGATAGATAGATAGATAGAGAGAGAGAGATGGTATATCTATAAACAGAGATAGAGATAGAGATAGATAGATAGATAGATAGATAGATAGATAGATAGATAGATAGAGAGAGAGAGAGAGAGAGAGAGAGAGAGGTAGGACAAGCAAGATATAAAATACCTACGTTTTATTTTGTGCTTTGATAGATATATAGATTAGGTAAATTTACAGACAAATTGACAGACGGACAGATAGATTGAAACTGAAATGGAGTAAAGAAGAAACAGAGAAAGAGGAATGGAATGAAAAAGAAGACACAAATGGATAATAAAAGAATTGTTACGACAGATTTAAACCCTTCCTCACTGTCATAAAAACAAAACGAAAAAAGGGAGAAGAAAAAAAGAGAAAAAAAACAAAGCGATCAGAATAAAAATAAACAATAAGAAAAGGGAGAAGAAGAAAAAGAAGAGGAGGAAGATAAAGGAAAACAAGAAGAAATCCGCAAAGTGATGCAGCACATACGAAACCTTGGCTAAAAGTGGCGACCTCTTTGCCTTACCAGATTATAGCCAAGTGTAACAGCTTAATCCCAGCATACTTTTTGGAGTGGTTTACGATCTCTCTTTCTTTCTCTCTGTCTCTGCCTCAGTCTCACTGTCCCTGTTTCTCTGTCCATGTCTATCTGTCTGTCTTTGTCTCGGTCTCATCTTTCTGTCTCTCTGTCTCGGGCTTAGTATCACTGTCTCTTGTCTCTCTGTCTCTGCTTGTGTCTCTGCCTCGGTCTTTCTTTCTCTTTGTTTCTGTTTCTGTCTGTTTCTCTCTCTCTCTCTCTCTCTCTCTCTCTCTCTCTCTCTCTCGCTCTCTCTCTCTCTCTCTCTCTCTCTCTCTCTCTCTCTCTCTCTCTCTCTCT